CATGCGTATGTCAGCACCAGACCAGCCATGACCCTGCAATCCTTTCCATATACAGAGAAACTATATAGACAGAAATCGCTGCCAGGGAAACAACTGACTGCGCACAGAAACACAAGGACACACATGAATATGCAAACATACACTGGCAGGGATAATCCTCTTTCAGAGATTACTTACGATAGATATGCCATTTGAACTCTCGCACAACTTCAAACACAAAAACCAGCACACATACATTGTAAATGGGTGGGCAAGCTATCATGTTAATTAAAAACAAACAGCTCTAATGATCAGTCGTTTTATTAAAATATAATTGGAAAGTCGGAAAAGAGGTTAAGAAATATGCATTTTCTTCATCAAGAGAAACTCTTCAGCCTTCATTAACAATTAAGAATGTGCCTATTAGTGCACAAACACACTATATTTTCATTCTAATATGCTAAGAAATATACATGGATTTGGAATCCAAGGCAGCAACCATTGATTATTAATACTTCTCAGGTTTGAGCTGCTTGGTGTCTAAAAGTTTCATGACTGTCACTTCTGACGAGCGATACTGCCCTTAGAGTTGCCTTGATCGAACACAAACACACTTCTGCATTTTAATGCTGCGTCTTAGTTTGTTTCCCATCGCTGAGAGCATCGCCAGCCCACACTTCCCAAGAATGTCAGCGCTTTTACGGATTGTGTTAGGGAATTCTTATAAAAGATTCAGTCTGAAGTCTGTTTGGATTGAGCTAAACTGCACAGAACCACTTAACTTATTTGGAAAGAATTCTCCCTGTCTTCCTCTAAATGTGGCAGAATATTTCCCTCCCTCTGGTTTGGCTGTGTGGAGCGCTGCATCAGAGAGGATTTGGAGAAGCTAAAATAAGCCAAAAAAAACAACAACCACCACCTCCACGAGAGCAGCTAAAACCACTCATAAATGTTGGAAGATCTGCTTCAGCACTGAGGGGAGGGTTGCAGCGGATGAGTTATAATGTACAGTAGCAAAGGGATGGGAGAAGAGAGGGGCGGTGTTAGGCAACAGATATGAGAGAGTGGAGGAATACCTTTGCAAAATAAAGCAAACGTATTGGTAAATGGCCTGTATTTATATAGCGCTTTACATATCCAGTCATCCACTCATTCACACACTGGTGATGGCAAGCATTGTAGCCACAGCTGCCCTGGGGCGCACTGACAGAGGCGAGGCTGCCGGACACTGGCGCCACCGGGCCCTCTGACCACCACCAGTAGGCAACGGGTGAAGTGTCTTGCCCGAGGACACAACGACCGAGACTGTCCAAGCCGGGGCTCCAACCGACAACCTTCTGATTACAAGGCGAACTCCCAACTCTTGAGCCATGATCGCCCCTTTGGTGCACAAAGACGACCGCATTTTGAAAATGTGACATTATATGAGAGGAGAAAAATAAACACAATTTCTCTCTCTCCAGCTCCGTTCTGCTCTCTCAGTTGTATAACAGTGCTTCTACCTTGGAGCTACATTATCCTCGCAAATCTCCTGCACTACTGTACCTTTACAAATAGCTCCAACCTGTTATGGGAAATTCAAAGCCAGTGTATAGCAAAAGCCTTCTAGATTCCTACTGAGCTGCTGGAGTGAAAGCCTGGCACTCTAAAGCGTTTCCACTACAAAGTCAGACGGCACAGGAAGCTTCGGGATACTATAAAAATCTCTCCTTTTATCCATTTGTGGAGTGGAGTTAATTTTTCCCAGAGATTAAGATTATACTGTAGGATAGAGAGAGTTCTAGAGCACTAGTACTTTTTTATGAGGGCACAGCCTTCACTTGCTGAAGCTCTTTGGATCAGAATGTAAAATAGGGCAATGTCCTGAGTGAGGGAGGTCATGTTCTGTCTGGAAAGGAAACTGTGAGAAAAAAGGGACTATTTCTGCACCAGTGCAAGTCTAAATTCTCTTAATCATGTAATATTATGATTAAAAGAATTATGTAAAAGGAACAAATGAAGTGCTTAGTTAAATTTATCAAGAATGAGGGAAAGTAGCTCACAAATAAGCTAAGAAACCAAAATAGCAATTCTTGCTTGGAAACAACTTTAATTGCTACCATCATCTAAGAAATTCAAGATTTAAAAAAAATGGGGGAATGAGCTTTATTTTGTCTTGCAAAGTTTTTAGATGAGAAACTCTATACTACTTTCACATGATCAGAAGTTGGTAAGATCACTCCCCAGTCACACAGGCCTAAAGAACAGTTAGCAAACCATCTGGCAATGAGAGAAAAATGTGTATTCCACTATTACCTGAGTTGTTTGATGGAGGCTGGTGAAAGTCGCTGTGAAATCAACTGCTAAAGTCCAATTCACCATATCTGGAGACAGGTTAGTGACCCTCTGGAAATCACTAGAGTGTATTCCGCAACTGGTTGGAGACTGGTTTCTAAAGGCTGCCGGCAATCACTGGCATGAAATTGGTTGCACAGAGGTATGTGTTCCTGTGCTGGTAGTAGCAGTAAGTCACAGCGTTCTCAGTTTCTGGTTTGTGTTTTACTAATGGTTAGCAGTTACTTAGTTAGTTTGTTTTCAGACAAGTTGATGAGTAAAATGCAAAATATGAGTTGCCAAGGCAATCTGATAGTGACAAAAGAAACTGCAAAGTGGATCTGGTGCAGTTTCACCTGGTGATAGCCAGCAACTTTAAGCAACCGGTTGTGGCACACAGTACATTTTTCCTTGGTGACAAGATTTTCCAAGTGGTTGCAAACTCATGAATACCCAGGCAGGGGAGGAAAACAACTAGCTTAGAAAAAAATCATGCTCTCTAAAAAATTGGTATTTTTCTTGGATTTGAAAAGAAAAGAGGGGCAAACAAGAAGCAATAACTTAAAAAAAGACCTTTTAAGATATTTGTTGGATGATAATTGTTAGAACAGGAAAATTATAGTTCTAAATTACTGAGTGCTGACTTCTATTTAACTGCTGTAGTTTTAATTATATTGTAAACTCCGAGTGAATAATCTTATTTTAATTTCAAATCTGTTTTTGGCTTTTATCAGTAACATTTTAAGGCTATTAAAGTTTATCAGTAAAAAATAACTGAAATAAAAAGCCAATTCTGTTTCACAATGATGCTTTTGTTTTAGGCTTTTGTTATAAATCAAGCACATTTTTTTTCTTTACAGTTTTAGCTTAAATAGTTTAAAGTTTTAGAAAAGACAATAAAATAAATTTTGAATGAATATACACTGATTATGATTTTGGCTATAGCATTTTATCCTATAGAATAAAGCTCGTTTAGTGTATGTGCTCAATAAACTATAACAATTTGACATGAGACTACAAATACGTCCATTAATACATTTATCTCAGCATCAGTCAGCCCTTCATTCCATTCTGAAGGACTTCTCATTTATGATTAATTAGGCTAAAGTTCACTTTCTGGTAGTGAATTTCCTGGTTTTCTTCCTCACTGAAAGTCAATTTAGAACCAGTTCAAAAGGAATAAAACTTTATATTATTAATGCTCTTTCTCACTGCGCCATAACAAACTTCATATTTTATCAGTAATGAGATACAGAAGCCCTGAGGAAAGAAAAGCGGCTTTAGAAGAATGATATGACTTTCATATCACTCATACCTTCTGACCTTCATCATGTTGTTTTCTCTTTTTTCAGCTATGTGGTCTGGCAACCAAAGATCTATTTCACTGAGATTTGTCATATTCAGAGCGTTAAATGCCATCTGAACCACTGTGTGTGGTGAGGGGGGGAATGAACCTGAATGCAGATAAAAAATAATATAACAACAAGGGAGTGAGCGAGATTTAGTGTGGCAAAAGGGAGTTGTGCGCTAAAAATTAAATGCTAATAATATGCAGATGATGCAAGAGATGAAATCTGGTGGCAAAACAAAGAGTCCTGTCAGGATGTAGAAAGTGCTGTGTCTGTGTCTGGAGTATAGACAAAGTGGTTTTCTTAATATTACGCTTTGTTGCTGCTTAACACACAAACACATGCCCACACACACATACACTCACACACACTCATGCACAGAGAGAGATAAAGCCTAAGTCGTGCCGATAAGCAATTGGATGGAAAGAAAGTCAGCCACTGTAACGAGACACTGAGGGAATACAGAGCAGTGCCGAGAGACTTGGAGTGAAAGGGAATGAGAAAGATAAAGAGACTCAAGTGGGAGAGGGAAAATTATTGAAGGGAGAGAGAGACAGACAGATGTTAGGTCACACAGAGAAACAACGAGAAGAAGAATGAGTAAAAAAAAAAGTTTGAAGTAATAAAAAAAGAAAGAACAGTGAGGAAAACTTGAAACAAAGAGGAAGGATGTAACAGGAGAAATAAACAGAGATAATGAGCAGAAATGACGAAATGACGGTAGTCTGCAGGAAAACAAGGATCTGAAAGTGAAATAAAACAAAGGGGATTTCCCTCATGAGATGCACACAAACACACACAGAGAGAAGGGAAAGAGAGACACGGTAACTAGTCTGAGTCTTGTTTTGGTTCAGCTGTGATAGTTCAGGCAGAACATGTTTCAAGTTTGCATGATTTCTCAGATTCGTAGCGGAAATCTCTTCTGCAACTTTCAATCAGACAGCGATGAATCTGATTCTCTGTGCAGTTTCTAAAACGATTTCTAAATCATGGAAATTAAAAATCAAATCAAAAACCACTTCTCCGAGTCTGTTTCCCTTTCCTCTTTAATTCTCGTTTACATCTTTCTCTACATAAAACTGTACAGTTCTGTGTATTTGACACAACTTTAACATCCTCACTGGCATCAAAGATAATCATTGTTTCTGCTTCCTATTAACGTCGTAGATTGAGAGGCTATTTCACAGACACTTACCATGGGCTGGATAATGATTCTTGCACTTACTTTCTAATTAAAATCATAATCATAATTTACACTTTCCCTCCAGTCCCTTCCGGTTGTACACATAATTGAAATAATAATTCACAAGTGTGTTTTCTCCTTCCTTTGCTTCCTCCCTCCTTCTCTCTTCCCCCCAGTCTTCCTCTGTGTCCTCTGCCTCCTAGCTGCATTGCTGCCGCCAACCTGCTCCTGCCCTCCTCCCTGTCTCTGCTCCTCGGACAGCCTGGTGGTGGACTGCAGAGGCCGGGGTCTCTCCTCTCTGCCTCCCTTGCACCTCCTGCCTCCAAGGAGCCGCTCACTCCTGCTAACCAACAATAAACTCGCCTCGCTGGGAGCAGCTGCCTTTGCTAACCTCACTTCTCTGGAGGTTGTGAAATTTTTCTTTGCCTCAAAGCTGAACATGTTGTGGGTTGTTGTTACATTGTTGTTCATCACTGTGTGTGCAGCACAATAAGTGATATTGTCTGGCAGATCTTATATTGAGCAAACTGCAGAAAACCTCTGATATGAGTCTGAAAAGTTAAGAAAAAGTTGACATTTTCAAGGTTTTGCAGGAAAAATTTGCATTTACTGTGGCTGGCAGCAACAAAACAATTGATAGTTTCTGTGCAATGAATACAACCTCATTAGTTACAACACTTGGCTGCTCTTTATTTATGAATGTCTCTTATTTACCATATCAGATAGAAGTAATTGCTTCTGTTTCCTGTCAAGGCTTAATGTACAATGAAACGTTTGCAGTTTTTGATTAATTCAGATTTTCATACCCACCAAAACACCACTAGTTATTTTACACATAAGTGCCAGATTAAGTTAAAGATATTTGTAATACTCAAAAAGATCATCAGCTACCACCAGTGTCTAAATTGTGCATAATTTGCATGTGTTTTTTAGGAACTGGACCTCTCTAATAATTACTTGGATAATTTACCAGCCGGATTATTCAGAGACATGTCCAACCTGACAAGATTGACTCTGCGCAACAACTCCTTAACAGTAATGGACAGAGACCTCTTCCAGGTAGGCACTCTAAATTACACAGCACCATACTTCGTAAAGCCTTCAACACTGCTCACTAAATACAGAATAAATGGCATTATTCCAACTACAAATCACATAGGACACTCAAATATTCCCTGCTAAAATGCATGGAAAACCTGTCTTTGTCTTCCGTGTACTGGGTGATATGTATTATCATTACAGTGTACTGAATGTGACTGAAAAAGAAAACAAAGCTGATACCACAAAGCTAAAGCTTAAGCGTCTGGATTTGAACTTCACGGGCTGTGCTTACTCGAGCCAACCTGAGCAGTTATACTTAAAAGATTGGGCCCCTGTCCAGGTGTTAAATTAGTAACAAACCATTTTCCCAGCACTTTCATCCACTAAATCAGAACAGTCAGTAGGATAAGTCTGTGTCATCACTTCACTTGGAAATGTAAATTAAAATCAGTAGCTGCCAGTAGCTACATGGCAAAGATGTTTAAAGCCAGTGGGTTTTTATGAAAAAAAGTGCCCAACCATCAAACAAAGGCCTGCTTTTGATGTTTCTACAGGGTCTGAGCGGTCTTCAGAGTCTAGACCTGTCATTGAATGGTCTGTCCACAATTCCTCTCGGCCTACTGGATGAGTTGCAGAGCCTAAGGTAGGTACACACCAGCATACATTCATTTACACTGATTTTAATCGGGTGCTCACTTACAGGACCAAACACTAGAGTAAGATCACGATCCAGAATTATGAACAATGTAATATTCCCTCATGAGTTACAAGGTCAGAGTCGTGGATAATGTTCCAGACGGAGAGCGCAGAGATCTTAGTTAACATAATCAGAAGATTATAAGATTATTGTAATTTCATAGAAGAAGGTGAAAATGTTGGAAACCTTTCTGAAGACACTGTGTCTATGCTGACCAGCTGGCACAGAAACTAAGCAGCACTACTCGTGTTAGTCAGGCCAAGGCAACAATGTTGACATAACCAGTAAGACTGATAGTAGTAGTACCAAACATTTTCAGTAAATAATTCTGTTTTGTTTTTTTCCCCTCAATTTTAAGTGTTACATACCCATACAACACTGATTATTCTGATATAATTCTACTAAACTATTATTATTATTATTACTTTTACTCCAAGGTGGCTGTCCCTAGCGGGTAACAGGCTTCATGGTTTGGAAAGGGCAGCATTTGAGCCGCTGGCCAATCTGCAACACCTGGAACTGGGCCATAACCCCTGGGAATGTGACTGCAACCTCCGCGATTTCAAACACTGGATGGAGTGGCTGCTGTACAGAGGTGGCTGTTTGATTTATGTTACAAGAACTTTTAAAGGCTACGCTTGATTTGAACTGAGGGAAAAGGACAACAGGCTGAATGGGGTCACGAAGGAGTGGGCAGAAACGAGAGGTTATGTGGCTGGGTATTTGTTTCCATTTCTGCAACACCGTGCTTCTGGCTGTATAATATAAGCGCATCAGTGTGATAATGCGCATTAATGCGCTCATTGTGCGCTTCCTTGTACTGTATCCACGTGTCTCTGTGGGCTGTTAGTACATCAGATAACCGCAGCTGCTCTCCGCTCTTTCTCCTCATGTGTAAAAATCTACATTCACCTCAGTGCCTTGGGCCCCAGCTGCCCCGCTAATGAAGCATCTCTTCTCTTTTATGCTCTATTCTCCTCTCTGCTTCATTCTGCTCTCTTCTGCTTTGCTGGGCTTAACTCCTGCTAGGTTCAGTACACCTCATAGGACACTGGACATCATAAGATGAGCAGACAAATTGCATGAAGACATTTCATAGCTCAACATGTAATCATGGCAGTAGCAGTCTTGCAGAAAGTAAGACAAAGCTTGAGAGCAGCCTGTGTTGACTACTATATATGCATAGCTGTAATATCTCGAGATATTTGTAGAGAAAGATGTGTTTGTAAAAAAGTCTTCTGTCACAGGCTGAGATAAAAATCTGGGGGCTAAATACTCATTCTGTCTTTCTGTTTTGCATTGCTTTTATCTTATTGTTTCTGTCACTTAACCTGCCCTATCTGACAATGCAGATCAATGGCTTTCTAGCATGTGACCTTGTTACGAATACTGTGTTTGCAGGCCTGTACCCTCGTGCCACCAGTGGGAATTAGTGACTCAGATATTTCTCCTGTCTACACATGCTACCGCTTTTTGCTGAAGCCAGGCATGTCATCTCATGAATTATACAAGGGTTTAGTTGAGGCTATCTCCAACCTAGCGTTGCGGGCACAGTAAACTTGGTGTCTGTGAAGTGATGTATGACTCATCCCAGTGTTGGCACAGCCACCCCCGACCAAGTCTTTCCTACGTTTTCCGTTAATTGGTAGTGCTTTACCGACATAAGGCGCTTTATAAATGACCTCTCACTGTCCTCTTGTCTCTACACCTCTGTCTCTCTCCATTTAGGGGGGAAGGTGGATGCGGTGGAGTGCACACTACCGAAAGATCTGCGTGGACGAGACATCCGTGGTGTTCCGGTGGAAATGTTCAACTACTGCCTCCAACTCGAAGATGAGAACGGAGGGGGTGAGGGTTCTCGTTCGGGACAAGGAGGCGGTCCTCCCTGCAGCAGGAACGCTCTCAATCCCAGCGGGTCGACACCAGTTTCTGACAGCAGCGGCAGCACTGCTGATGATTCCTCTTCAAACACTGGAAGTGGAGGAACAGGTGGAGAGGCTCCACAGGACTGCACCCGCTCTCGCTACCGACCTGTAAGCGTGCGGCGTGCCATTGGTACGGTTGTAATTGCCGGCGTGGTGTGTGGCATTGTTTGCATAATGATGGTGGCTGCCGCGGCTTACGGCTGTATCTACGCCTCCCTGATGGCCAAATACCAGAGAGAGCTAAAGAAGAGGCAACCGCTAATGGGGGATGGAGAGGCTGATGGAGAGGACAGGGATGAGAAACAGATCTCCTCTGTTGCCTAAAGGATTGATGGCATGGGGGTTTGGCACGTCAAAGGCTTAGGGATGAAAAGGGTGAAAATTAAAAGGGCTCAAAGAGATGAGAGATGGAAGAGCTTGTTTTAAACACACAGACGGTTATAGTATCTCTCCCTGTGACTCTCAAACTGACACCTCTCCCACTTTTTGTCTTCCTTTCTTTTTCTATTTTTAACCTCCTCCACTCTGTCGTTTTCTCTAACATACTCCCTCACACACATACCTTATCTGCTCCCAGATTCTCTCTTCCATTTGGACCCGTTCTCACTGCAGTATTCATTCCCAAACATCCCTCCAACTCGCCTACCAGCCACCTACTGCTGTTGAATTTACCAGTATATTGGCTAGGAGAAAAAAAATTGGTTCCTCTCTCTCAGTATGAAACATATCATTTAAGTAGTTACAGAACACTCATGGTGCACGGTGAGCCAGTTTTTGTAAACCTGGGCTGAGATATCAGGGATTCATAATTTGTACGGTATTGACTGGACCAATATGAGAAGAATTTCTTGTATCAGGAAGTAGCCTGCAGTTCTCAGTTTATCTGTAACCTTCTCCTTCTCAGCCTCTCCAAAGCCAGTAAACCCCTCAAGAAACCAAGATCTGAGCACAGACCCGTTCACTCTCTTCTGGACTGATCCTCCTCTGATTTCTCCTCAACCTCCAAGACCTCAAGAAAGAAACTGACATTAATGAGGAGAGCTGATAGAAAATTAAGACGATTTGTAGATGGAAATCCGATCTACTACTTTATCAAAGGAAAGATACTGAGGCTAGATCTGATATATGTAACAGAAAACCATTTGGATTTACAGATGAGCATTCATTTATCACATTAGTGGGACTCTGGCCTGTTCGAATCAGACTTCACCTTTGCTCTGGATCTTCTGTGGACTAATTCAAGCCTGGAGGTATTCAAAACTGAAGCTGTCCATGAGATTCTGACTTGGATCTTATCAATCAGCTCAAGGAGGATTAAACCATATGACTGGAATGTTGAATTTGCTGTATTCACCTGCTTCAGAAAAAGCTCCTACTTGTTTGATGCTTAAGATGGTTATGATAAATGTCCGGACAGATCAAAAGAATCAGATCAAATCCATGTTCTGATGTTACTTGGACTATGCTTCTGGATCAAAGAAGATTACACCACAGTTACTGAGATCCAAAGGACCACAGACTTTGCTTTAAAGCACATGCTCTTTGTTCTGAACTCATTTTGAAACTCCTTTCACCTATCAGAGGTGAAAGTTTGCTACTATGGCATAAAAAAAACTCTGAGAATCCTGGTTTTCTGACAAAGACTACAAAAATTCATCTATAAACTACAAACTTCAGGCTTGTGCACTTTATTTCCCTAAACAGATTCCCTCTGGCCTCTCTCTTTCCGTCCTGTCCTCCTTCTTTCTTTCCAAGATGGATGAATTGCCTGGAGGGATTATTAAAAAAAGAGGGATTAAACTAAAAAAGCTGCTATTTTTACCCCTCCTCCTTCTCATCCCTTTATCTCACTATCTTTTTTTTCTCTATCCAGTGCTATTTGAGGAGGTTTTTTTCACACTCCTTAAAGACTCCATCCTTTTGTGCATCCCTTCTCCCATAGTCTTGTCTGTTTGTTTTTCTTGAACAGTCTGCAATATGCAATGGAAGTTGCATGAAAATGTCACTGCCAAAGAGTCCTTGTGTTTAAAAAGAAAACGTAATTATCATTAATTTGAGAGGAATCGCTTGATTAACACTCGTTTCTCAGTGCAGTCACAAAAACGGTTTGATTGTTTGCTCTTTACGTAGTGTTTTCATGAGTATCCCTATCTATGGCCTGGTAAACGTTATTATTTTACAGTTAGCAGAGTACAATAACTAACTTAAGTTCCCCCCATACTAAAACTATCGTTTCCTCTCAATTTTTGATTGGCTGCGAATAAACTTATATTAATAGTGTGTTATCTTATATCTGGGTATGATGCAGATAAATATTATTATACTAGTCTTCTATGGTGTGTTGGCCCAACAATCCAGAATCGTTTAAAGTAGCCGTTTACGGTTTTTCTGTACCAATTCATGATGTATGTGTTTTATTGTGTTAATGGCTTCTATGTTCTGTTTTAGATTTAAATATCTGTGTAACATTTCTTTGTTGTTTCCATTTATTTGTGTTGACTACCTGGTAAAGTTTCTGAAAGAAGCATAGAAAGAGTTTACCAGCTTATGCCTAATGTTAATCTGGTTGGGATCATTTGGCATAGAGCTCTAACATGTATTTTTTTTTTTTATTTAATAGCAGTGGCTTTATCTCCTACAAATATTTTTTCATAATGCGACTTAATCCCTGTTTGTACAGGATTAGTATTTCCAGGAGGACCAAATTATATCCCTGCGTGTGTATTTCATGCACACAAGTAAAGTCTGTGTTTCATTTAAATATACTGACATAAACTCTGGATATGATGGAAAATGTTGATTGGAAAGTACTTGTACTATAAATAATAACACCTACATTTTGACAGGTATCTACATGTTCCTTAAATGCTCCCAAATTTTCATTTAGAATTGCCAATGCATCTTCTGTAATCTTAAACTGGAATGAGGCAAAAAAAGGTGTTTAATTTTCCTAATTAAGTGATTTCCATGATGAGGCTAATATTATCACAGGAATTCTGTAGGTAGGTAAAGTAGGCATCGAGGATTGGACTTTTTACTTCACAAAGTATGGCAGAGTTGTTGTTATGATGAACGACTGGAAGCCCTTGGGTAATATTTCAATCATGTGCAAACAGAGTTATTTTAAAATAAGAAACAGTATTTGCATTTATGAAGATACTTTCTGTCTATATTGCAATTACAAAGATGTCAAAATCTGTATCTACAAGCTTGTTTTTAATGGATTGTTTTTACAATATAATAACTATGTTCAATATGTATTTAAGTTACAATGAGAACAATTTGGAAAAGGTCAGAAAAAGTAAGTCTAGCTCTTCTGGATGCAAGAGAGCTGACTGATGACCAGAAAGAGCATCTCATCATACAGTTCAAAACGCCTTGGGTGTACATTATAACTTAAGATTTGTCAAAATTTAATAACAATGGCTGCTTCACTAACCTGAAAAGATGCAGAAAGCGCTCAAGCAAAAGCAATTTCCAAATTAGCTTCACAGTGGACGTCTTCATGGATGCACATGCTGACATTAAATACTGTGTGATATAACCTTGAATTTTAGAGACTCTGAGGTAGCGCCGTAACGAAAGCAAAAGCTAAACTCTGTCTTTGAATCCAGAAACACTGTCCTCTCGCCCCCTGGTCTGCAGGTCTTGTGTTGTTTGTAGCTAAGTATCTTAGCTAGCTTGATCCTGTTCCTATAGTCTGTGTGCATAAAGAACAATAAATTCTAGTTTGTTACGTAAAAACTGCAGCAGCCATGATGACCAAGGGCCTCTGAGACTACACTGCTCAGAAATCTACATGTGTTGTCTTGTTATGATGATTGTGATTATGACAATGATGATATGAAGATGGTGATGAAGCATTTCCTAGTCAATATGCATTGTTTTAAATAAAAACATATCACACCTATGTCATATTTGCATTCAGACTAAATATAAGGTTTAAAAGAATATAAGGACTATTTATTTAATAAATTTAATTTGGATTAAAGAGCACATCAGCAGATATAGGTGGAATAAGTATACAATGTCAAAAACACATTAATTAGCCTATACCTTCATATATATATATATATATATATATGTTTCAGCTTGCAGGGGTCTTTAACCTGTTGTTTGCCCAGTCAGTAGTACCAGCGTGCTTCAAGACCACCTCCACTGTGCCAGTGCCGAAACACTCAACGTGCCTGAACGACTATTGCCCTGTAGCACTCACACCCATAGTTATGAAGTGCCTTGAGCGACTGGTCCTGGCACACCTCAAGACATGCTTGCCCCATACACTGGATCCTCACCAATTTGCCTATCGAAGCAATAGGAGTACAGAGGATGCTGTATCCACAGCGCTACACTGTGCACTCTCACACCTGGACAACAAGAATACTTATGCAAGAATCTTGTTTGTTGACTTCAGCTCAGCATTCAGTACAGTTATTCCCTCCAAGCTGATCACTAAACTTGTGGAAATTGGAATCAGCAACTCTATATATAATTGGATCATGGACTTTCTGACCAACAGAACCCAGCATGTTAGGTCATGCCATGACTGCTCTACCAACATCACACTCAACACTGGCACTCCACAGCGCTGTGTGCTGAGCCCGTTCCTCTACTGCCTTTTCACCCATGACTGCAGACCTAGGTATGGATCCAACTCCATCATCAAGTTTGTGGATGACACGACAGTGATTGGTCTCATCAGTGACAACGATGACTTTAACTACAGGGAAGAGGTAAAGCACCTAGCTGTATGGTGCGCTGACAATAACCTGCTCCTGAATACCAGAAAAACCAAGGAGCTCATTGTGAACTTCAGGAAGGGGAAGAGAGACACCCATGTCCTCATCTACATAAATGGCACAGCTGTTGAATGGGTTTTCAGCTTCAAGTTCCTGGGGACATCTCCATCTCCAGCCTGGTCAAGAAGGCCCATCAGCGCCTCTTTTTCGTGAGGACACTGAAGAAGAATGACCTGTCTGCTGACTTACTGGGTAACTTCTACTGCTGTGCAATAGATAGCATCCTGACCAACTGCTTCACAGTCTGGTATGGGAATTGCTCTGTTGCTGACCACAAGGCACTGCAGCAGGTGGTGAAAACCACCCAACGCATCACAGGGACTCCACGTCCTGCCATTGAGGATGTCCACAAGCAGAGGTGTCTATGCTGGGCACGCATCATTCTCAGGGACTATATCTTCCCAATAAACTCTTCTAGTTCCTCCCCTCCAGAAGGCTCTATAATAACCAGGTTTAGGACCAGCTTCTTCCCCACAGCTGTCACCCTACTAAACTCAGTCCCCTGCTGAACCTTTCCATTCACAGTCACTTAACCATCTACACTCCTCCTCCCCCTCATCCCTCCCAATGACCATGAACATTCACTGTTTGCTCACATTACAGTACGTACTTACACTGTTCACTGTTCAAGAGTGCTACTCTTCCACTACTGTAGCTATATTCATAGCACTCTGTAGATTACCACACATCGGTACCTCTGTATATTTGTTCATAGTACTTCTGTATATCTGCCCCTCTGTGTAGCAATATAGAACATCTGTATACAGTTCCCTCTCCGTAAATCGCTACCTTATCGTGGTGGAGGGGTTTGTGTGTCCCAGGGATCCCAGGGGCTATGTTGTCCGGGGGCTTTTGCCCCCTGGTAGGGTCTCCCATGGCAAATTGGTCCTGGGTGAGGGACCAGAAAAAGAGCGATTCAGAAGGCCGTTATGTGGAAAACATTGAGGGAACAGTTTACCCTGCCCGGGATAGGGTTACCGGGGCCCCGCCCTAGATCCAGGCCCGGGGAGGGTGGCCGAGGGTGAGCGTCTGGTGGCTGGGCCTTAGTCCATGGGGCCCGGCCGGGCACAGCCTGAAAAAGGGGATATTGGCCCATCCTCCCGCAGGCCCATCACCCGCAGGAGGCGCTGTAGCAGTCGGGTGCATTGTGTGCCGGGCGGCAGCCAGGAGCGGAGGCCCTGGCGGACTGATCCCCGGCTACCAAGACTGGCATTTGGGACATGGAATATCACCTCTCTGGTGGGTAAGGAGCCGGAGTTAGTGCGTGAGGTTGAGAGGTACTGGCTAGATATAGTCCGGCTCACCTATACGCATGGCTTGGGCTGTGGAACAAGGCTTTTGGAGAGGTGCTGGACTCTGTCTCAGTCTGGAGTTGCCCCTAGTGAGAGGCGGTGGGCTGGGGTGGGTATTCTAATATCCCCTTGGCTTGCTGCCTGTATGTTGGAGTTCTTCCCGGTGGATGACAGGGTTTGTTCCCTGCGCCTTAGGGTCGGGGAACGGGTCCTGACTGTCATCTGCGCTTATGCGTCGAGTGGCAGTTCAGAGTACCCAGCCTTCTTAGAGTCCCTGGGTGGGGTGCTGGAAGGTGCTCCACCTGGAGACTCTGTTGTCCTACTGGGAGACCTCAGTGCTCACGTGGGTAACGACAGCGAGACCTGGAGGGGTGTGATTGCCAGGAACGGCCTCCCTGATCTGAACCCGAGCGGTGTTTTGTTATTGGACTTCTGTGCTAATCACAGTTTGGCCATAATGAACACCTGTTCAAACATACAGTAAGTGCACGTGGCACCAGGACACTCTAGGCCTGATCTGAACCCGAGCGGTGTTTTGTTATTGGACTTCTGTGCTAAATCACAGTTTGGCCATAACGAACACCCTTGTTCGAACATAAGAGTGTCCATAAGTGCACGTGGCACCAGGACGCTCTAGGCCAGGTCGATGATCGATTTTGTAATCGTATCACCAGACCTGCGACCATATGTTCTGGACACTCGGGTAAAGAGAGGGGCTGAGCTGTCAACTGATCACCACCTGGTGGTGAGTTGGATCAGGTGGGGGGAGGACGCTGGACAGACCCGGTGCACCTAAAGCGTAGTGAGGGTGTGCTGGGAACGCCTAGCAGAGGCCCCAGTCCGTGAGATCTTCAACGCACACCTCCGGCAGAGCTTCAACAGCATTCTGAGGGAGACTGGGGACATTGAGTCCGAATGGACCATGTTCAGCATCTCCATTGCCGAAGCTGCTGCATTGAGCTGCGGCCGCAAGGTGGTTGGTGCCTGTCGTGGTGGTAATCCCCGAACCAAATGGTGGACACCAGAGGTGAAGGGAGCCACCAGGCTGAAGAAGGAGTCCTATCGGGCTTGGTTAGCCTGTGGGACTTCGGAGGCAGCTGACAGGTACGACAGGCCAAGCGGAATGCGGCTCGGGCAGTGGCTGAAGCAAAAACTCGGGTGTGGGAGGAGTTCGGAGAGGCCATGGAAAAAGACTTTTGGACTGCCTCGAAGAGATTCTGGCAAACCGTCAGGCGTCTCAGGAGGGGAAAGCGGTGCTCTACCTGCACTGTGTATAGTGCTGGCGGAGCGCTGCTGACGTCGACTGAGAAAATTGTCAGGCGGTGGAAGGAATACTTCGAGGACCTCCTTAATCCCACTGACACGTCTTCCGAGGAGGAAGCAGAGTCTGGGGATGAGGGGAATGACCCGCCAATTTCCGGGGGCGAGGTCACTGAGGCAGTTAAACAACTCCTTGGTGGCAGAGCCCCTGGTGTGGATGAGGTCCGCCCCGAGTTCCTGAAGGCTCTGGACGTTGTAGGGCTGTCCTGGTTGACACGCCTCTACAATGTTGCGTGGAGATCAGGGGCAGTACCCCTGGACTGGCAGACCGGGGTGGTGGTCCCCATCTTTAAGAAGGGGGACCGGAGGGTGTGTTCCAACTACAGGGGGATCACACTCCTCAGCCTCCCTGGGAAAGTCTATGCCAGGGTGCTGGAAAGGAGAGTTCGTCCGCTAGTCGAACCTCGGATACAGGAGGAACAATGCGGTTTTCGTTCTGGTCGCGAAACACTGGACCAGCTCTTTATCCTCTCAAGGATACTTGAGGGAGCTTGGGAGTTTGCCCAACCAGTCTACATGTGTTTTGTAGACCTGGAGAAGGCATTCGACCGCGTCTCTCGGGGTGTCCTGTGGGAGGTGCTACAGGAGTATGGGGTGTCTGGCCCATTGCTACGGGCCATTCAATCCCTATACAACCGTTGCAAGAGCTTGGTTCGCATTGCCGGCAATAAGTCAGACTCATTCCCGGTGGGTGATGGGCTCCGCCAGGGCTGCCCTTTGTCACCGGTTCTGTTCATAATTTTTATGGACAGGTTTTCTAGGTGCAGCTAAGTGGCGGAGGGCTTTCACTTCGGTGGCCTCAGAATCTCATCTCTACTTTTCACGGATGATGTGGTATAAACATCTGTATACTTAACTTACTTGTACATAATCTGTACATAACTACTCCCACCTTTTACACTGCCCTTATCTGTATATAATCTGCTCTTCTTGCACTTACTGCTCTTTGCACTTCTGATTAGATGCAAACTGTATTTCATTACCCTGTATTTTTAAATGTGTACTGACAATAATGTTGAATCCTAATCCTAATCTGAATATAGGTATATGTTTTCCCATACTTTTCCCTCTTTTTCCTCTCACCTTTCATTGTTCTCTCTGGGTCCATTCCCCTCTCAGTTTTCTTGTCTCAATTTATCTTTTTGTCACTTCTTCTCCTATCATTTTTTAATCTTCTCACCTTCCTTTCTCTCATCTCTGTCTCTTTATCACTTGCTCAGTCTGGGCTATTGTGTGCCCTTTTTGTCTCCACCCTGATCTTACCTCCTTTTCTCGCTTATTTATATCCTTATTAGGTGCTTCCTCTCCTCCTCCATGTAAAATGTCTTCTCTTTATTCTTTGCCTGCTCTATCCCTCTGTCTCTGTCTTTTTTTATTTATCCACACTCATCACTCTTTCCTCCTCTTTTCCCAAGTCTGCCTCTGCATCAGTAGGAATAGGTTTATTTATATACAGCATGTCACTTATGCCACAGAGATATTCTAATCCATTGCTGAGCCCTCA